CTGTTAGTGTCAAAGGCACTTAAATACAAGGTGGTTATATTTTACAAACGTTAGCTAGAGCAAGTTGCGTAAGGCAAGTGCTGGCAGGAACCAAAAGAAAAAGTTATTGATAAATAATTTGAATTGATCAGAGCACGGCGTGAATGGAAGCGATTCAATGGTTGTTTGACAAGCGGCACAACTAGCTGAACAAACAGGGTGTGACCTGAAGGTCACTACCACCTCTCACCCGCCCACTATTTCAGCAACGAAAGTTGCCTTAATGAACTGATCTAATGTGAATTAAAAAATACGAGCCGGCCCGCGGCATAACATACGCCGCTATTTAGTTGTTTCTAATTTTCAATAATTCATAATTTGTGAATTCGACAGTACCAACGCTGACACTGAAAATATTTCTTTAAAACACTATAAGTAGCTCGTTAAGGACCATAACACCCCCCCCCCCCCCCCCCCCTTCCTTCCCCCCCCCTTCCCCCCCCCCTTCCCCCCCCCTTCCCCCCCCCCTTTCCCCTCCCCCCCCCCCTACGTTTAAAATCGTTGGCTCTGCTTGTAAACATTGAACACGGTTTTAGTGAACACAGCTCACTAAAACCATGTAGGGGTGGGGAGGTAGGGAGAGCGTTTGCAGCTTGTTTTCTAACGGCTCGAAGAAGAGAATTATATATATAGATTTTTATTCTATTCGGCCATAATTCGGACTTATTGTGAATAAAACAGAAGTTATGGTGGACATAAGAATAATATACTTGATGTGTATTACAGTCAATAGACCAACACAAGTTGAAAAGTCAATCTAATTATTTGCTTTCTTGTGGACGAAAACTGGGACACACTTTTCTTCAAAATGTATGCATAAACCCGATTAATGAACATATTTATGTGCATAACAATGTGGCTTTTCCGTAACTCAGTGCGCGGCATTGAAAGGTCGAACGGTACAAACTATCCCATAGACTGACCAAAGATCATACAGCACAAACTGTCCCATAGACTGACCAAAGATCATACAGCACAAACTGTCCCATAGAATGACCAAAGATCATACAGCACAAACTGTCCCATAGACTGACCAAAGATCATACAGCACAAACTATCCCATAGACTGACCAAAGATCATACAGTACAAACTGTCCCATAGACTGACCAAAGATCATACAGCACAAACTGTCCCATAGAATGACCAAAGATCATACAGTACAAACTGTCCCATAGACTGGCCAAAGATCATACAGCACAAACTTTCCCATAGACTGACCAAAGATCATACAGTACAAACTGTCCCATAGACTGACCAAAGATCATTCAGTACAAACTGTCCTATAGACTGACCAAAGATCATACAGTACAAACTGTCCCATAGACTGACCAAAGATCATACAGTACAAACTATCCCATAGACTGACCAAAGATCATACAGTACAAACTGTCCCATAGACTGTTCAAAGATCATTCAGTACAAACTGTCCCATAGACTGTTCAAAGATCATTCAGTACAAACTGTCCCATAGACTGACCAAAGATCATACAGTGCAAACTGTCCCATAGACTGACCAAAGATCATACAGTACAAACTATCCCATAGACTGACCAAAGATCATACAGTACAAACTGTCCCATAGACTGACCAAAGATCATTCAGTACAAACTGTCCCATAGACTGACCAAAGATCATACAGTACAAACTGTCGCATAGACTGACCAAAGATCATACAGTACAAACTATCCCATAGACTGACCAAAGATCATACAGTACAAACTGTCCCATAGACTGACCAAAGATCATTCAGTACAAACTGTCCCATAGACTGACCAAAGACCATACAGTACAAACTGTCCCATAGACTGACCAAAGATCATACAGTACAAACTGTCCCATAGACTGACCAAAGATCATTCAGTACAAACTGTCCCATAGACTGACCAAAGATCATACAGTACAAACTGTCCCATAGACTGACCAAAGATCATACAGTACAAACTGTCCCATAGACTGACCAAAGATCATACAGTACAAACTGTCCCATAGACTGACCGAAGACCATACAGTACAAACTGTCCCATAGACTGACCAAAGATCATACAGTACAAACTGTCCCATAGACTGACCAAAGATCATTCAGTACAAACTGTCCCATAGACTGACCAAAGATCATACAGTACAAACTGTCCAATAGACTGACCAAAGATCATACAGTACAAACTGTCCCATAGACTGACCAAAGATCATACAGTACAAACTGTCCCATAGACTGACCAAAGATCATACAGTACAAACTGTCCCATAGACTGACCAAAGATCATACAGTACAAACTGTCCCATAGACTGACCAAAGACCATACAGTACAAACTGTCCCATAGACTGACCAAAGACCATACAGTACAAACTGTCCCATAGACTGACCAAAGATCATACAGTACAAACTGTCCAATAGACTGACCAAAGATCATACAGTACAAACTGTCCAATAGACTGACCAAAGATCATACAGTACAAACTGTCCCATAGACTGACCAAAGATCATACAGTACAAACTGTCCCATAGACTGACCAAAGATCATTCAGTACAAACTGTCCCATAGACTGACTAAAGATCATACAGTACAAACTGTCCCATAGACTGACCAAAGATCATACAGTACAAACTGTTCCATAGACTGACCAGATTGGGTGGCTCTCTACTGCTGTAACAATAGGTGAGAAGAGGAATGTGGAGGGGAGGCTTTACAGCCTAAAAAAAACTCTATAAACTCAAATATTTTACATTTCACTGTTATTAATGAACTAGCCGTCTGTATGCCTTAATTATAGGCCTATATATTTTAATGTTAGACTTGTTTGAGAAGAATGTTTTATAAAACAGTTATTGGTCAAAACGCAATGTTGAACGATATTAGTGACAAAGCAAAGAAATAACTAAATAGCTAAAAATCCGTCACATTAAAACTAACATAGGCTACCAATACTATTAGAAAAACCAAATGATATACATTATTAGTTAACACAACACCATAGTAAATGCACACTGATTAAGATACTTAAATGATTTAGTTAAAAACCCGGCTGTTCAATGACCGATACAATGGTATACATTTCATAGCGTACGTCTTGATAAGTAGATCTATAGATCTAAATTAAATTTGAATGAAATAGTTCATTTCTTCATATTCTAAAACTAGTTTAGTGAACTGTCAGTAGTTTAAACATGATGTCACATTTTTGCGTTCTTGTCACAGCATAATTTAAAATGTGTTTCTACATTTGGATATGCCTTTATTTTTATTTTCCTTCTTTAAATAAAATTAAGTTTATACATTTAAAACATCCAACATATTATTTTCAACAAAAGTCCGTATCTTTAAGTTCTCCATATATCGCTGAACATACTGATCACATAGCCTCAAAAATGTTGCGGACAGAGAGAAAGAGAAGTACGCACATGGGCTTTTATATATTAGGATAATGTTGATGTAAAGAACAAGTTTATTAGACCACTTAAAGTTGTTTGTGATTTCTAGAGATGAGACTCCGGCATTCTTCTGTGAGCTGTCAGCTGCTGCTCGGAATTTGCTTTGGAGCAGCCCTCGTTCTACTGTACAACAACCTAATCTTTACCAAGCCAAACGTGCAAAATGACAATTTAAAGAAAAGATTTTTTTTTAAAGGTACATAAAGTGTGCTGAAGTAGAGTATGTGCTAAAATGGTCTTGTGTTAATGAACATATTTATGTGTATAACAATGTGGCTTTTCCGTAACTCAGTGCGCGGCATTGAAAGGTCGAACGGAACAAACTATCCCATAGACTGACCAAAGATCATACAGCACAAACTGTCCCATAGACATGGTGCATTTTTTAAGACTTACTTGAGTTTTGTCAGTTTTTTGTTAAGGAGATATAAGTTCAGAATCCCGCTGTGCTTGGAGTAGAATTTGCTACTGCCATTTGGTGCAACATATCGAGAAAAATATTGACGATGGTCCTCATGTAGGGAGGTTTATTTAAACAGTCATTTCGTCCAAAGCTCTTTTTTTTTCATTCTTCGTTTGTAATTGTATTATTAAAGTAGATAGCTAATTAAGTATGAGGTGTCAGCAAGATTTGGGCCATTCGGACTTCAGCCTTCTTTTCTTTCTGGATTTGCATCCAAAAAAATGTAATCGAAAGATCTAAATTCGTCGATTCAATGCGGTTGATTGGACGGTATTTTCTTTTTTTTTTCTCACAAAGTTTGCTCTACTAAAATATCTTTCCTAAAAAAAGATAATAATTAGATACATACTACCTTAAATGATCGCATACAATACAAGAAATACAACACAATTTAAAGATGTATCTAGATTATATATATATATATATATATATATATATATATATATAATATATATATATATATATACATATATACATATATACATATATACATATATACATACATCAATAGTTACATGAAATCCCGCTCACTTTTCATAATATTATCACATATCAAACCCCTGGTTATATGCCAATCCTCTTTTACCAAAAACCTCTTAGGGGTCGTCCATAAATGACGTCACACTCGTAGGGGGAGGGGGTCCGTAATTTTGTGACGGGTGTGTGATGAGGGGGAGGGGGGGGGGGGGGGTTCAGATAGTGCGACGTCACACTTTTGCATTATAAAAAAGCAATGTTAGAAAACGAATTTTAGACGTTATTTCGCGTTTTGGAAAACTGTTTTAATAAATTGTAGTAGGAAATCATTAAAATACTCTATTTTGACAGAGTTCAGACAAGATTTTAGAAAAAATATCGATGTTTAAATCGAAATTCAACTGCAATTTTGATGGATGTTGTAGGCGGAGGTGTGTTGCATTTGGGGGGGGGGGGGTGTCTGGCTTTTTGTGACGACGTGTGACGGAGGGGAGGGTGGAGGTAAAAATCGTCCAAAAAAAGCGTGACGTCATTTATGGATGACCCCCTTAATATGTTTGTGAAAGTTTAGTTTATGATGACATTAACAAATATTTGATTAACTAAAACATAACTGTAATTCAACAGATCACGAGACAGAGCAAGTTCTATATGAAGTTGTTCAAAAAATTTGTCATCAAAATATTTCGAGCGGTCCAGGTCTTTACCAAACTAGTAAGTTTGTACACGCACTAGATCTTGATTCCTAGCTGATATAAATATAGAAATTTTACGGTAAAGTCGGCCAATGCACTCATTGGCCAGTATCACCTCCCATGGACCAAATTCTGAAACTTTTCTTGATTTTGTGCGACATTCCAAACTATTATGATCACGTGAACTTTTATGAAATTTAGTTTTTCTTCGCCTTCAACTTCCAAACGGTTCCACATTTTTGTTGCCAGAAAGCATATTTTTCAACCAAAATTGAATATTTTATAACGTGTGTAAGAAGTACAAAATTACTTCTGGTTCCATTAAAGCTAGAAATTTTTTTTTTAAGTACCAGTAATATAATAGTAATTTTAGCAAACACTTTTATTTTAAATTTGGAATAGTAGAGTCAGGGTGTTGTGGTGATTGGGGATGTTATATTATTTAATATAAATACAATACTATGCTATACACCAAGCATACACCATATATCACTATTATGTATTTTCATCATGCAAAACAGTTGTTCTGACATGTATTGTTTTACTCTCCCTGGCCATTCCGATTGATTTCAAGGAGAGGTTGAGGGCAGTTTTTCAAAATAGTTGAATCAATAAAATAATTCTAAACCTGTTTCCAACTACTTATATTCGATACAAAAATATAACAATGAGTGCAAACGATGGTTCCCAAACGGCTTTAATTTTTACAAATGTAAATATAATTTTATCTCTTGCCATTTCTAAGTGCGCCAACCTCGCTCAGCACACTTCAAGTGCACTATGCAGAAAAAAATCGAGCCTTGTTCGCAAATATCCCCTTCACCCCTCCCCCCCCCCCCAACCCCACTCTTACCTAAATACACTCATACACACAATCATACGTACACGCACACACATTCATTCATTCATTCATTCTTTCATTTCTTAATTCGTTCATTCGTACATTCCTTTGTTCGGACATTCCTTTATTCTTTCATTTCTTCATTCGTTCATTCGTTTATTTATTTATATACTCATTCATTTATTTACTTATCATTTATGGGCGAATATAAAATTTTACACAGACAGACCGCAGGACAGACAGTCGGTCGGTCGGACGGACGGACCGATGGACAAACGGACAAACGGACAGACGTACAAACAGGCAGGCAAGCATGTAAACAATGTAGTTGCAGATGTAGACGTGTATGAAATTTGGTCAACACAGAGAGAGAGAGAGAGAGAGAGAGAGAGAGAGAGAGAGAGAGAGAGAGAGAGAGAGAGAGAGAAAGAGAGCGTGATAACTGTAAGGAATTATTCCTTGTGTTTTACTACACATAACGCGTGATTTCTGGAACTCAACAGACCGTATAGGTGTATCTTTCAAGGTTGTTCTGTAGGACAGTTTATTCACCTTTTTTATACACCAAGTGCTTGACTTGTCAAAATGCAACGTGCTACGGGAAAAAATGTGTGTTCATTTATTCATACTGTTCATATTATGTTCATTTGTTTGATCCCTGAATTATTTGTTCTGTTCTTGAACTATTTATTTAGGTCCTGGAAGTGTAAGTTTTGTCCTTGAAGTAATTGTTTGACCCCTTGTTTATTGCTAATGGCATTTGTTTTGTCCGTTGTGGCTTTTGTTTTGACTCTTGAGGCATTTTTTTTTCCTGAATGTATTTTATTTTTGTTTTTGTTAATAGACTTCTGAATAAATACTTAGCGTTCTATGGTATTTTTTAATACCTAAAAATATATGAATTAAGAACTAATTTTGACACAGCTCTTAATATGTTTGTTTTTTATTTGTTTAACAGAACCATCGCTTGACACATCTGATATTCGGAATAACGTCGAGAACATTCCTCCATACTACAACGTAACGAGCTCTAGATATTATTAACACATTGCGCAATTTAATGTTGAGTTTTAATTTTTAATCTAGTCTTGTTTGATCGGATGCATCTGTATGATGATATCTTGCAATTAATATGCCTCCAAAATTTATCAAATTAATTTCTTTCCACCGTTGTGGGTGTATTATCACAATACAAGTTTGAGAAGATTGTCCGATAAGAAAGCTTTACTAGAAAGGGCAGAGAACCCCCGCGTTGAGAGAAATAATTTTTTTAACCTTATAAATTTTAACGCCTCCTGACTTCATTTGGAAAGACAATTTTCTAGTAGGCTCTACAAATTCTACAGTTAAATAATCAAGACGATTTTTTTTCTTATTCGTTACTAATAGCCCTATGTGTTTTAAGTTTTAAACTATTACCCCCCCCCCCCCTCCAACGGAAAGAAAGTTGTTAAAATGCTGACAGACAACATTTGTGTTATAAGTTTGAGGCTTTTAGTCCTTGTTAGAGTTTTTAAGATTTTTACTTTAACATGGTTGGTCCTGCTTACGTAGTATGCCTAGTTTGATAGTTATTGTTTGTTTGTTTATTATTTTGTTGTTTTGTTGTTGCTCTTTTTGTTATTGAACATCTTGTTTGAAATGAAAAAAAAAGAATGACGTGGTTGCAGGATTGGCCAGGTGCAGTCAACAGCTGGAGGAATCACACTCGGCTTGCTTGCTCCAGCCTGGGTATCAACACTAATCCAGCTGAGATACAGCCCCATATGGTCGACAAGGTGCTGGTAGATGATCAACACAAGGTAACTACTGAGTCCCCTCCCCAACAAGATAGCTAGTACTGTACCCCCACTCCAACAAGGTAACTAGTACTGTACCCCCACCCCAACAAGATAGCTAGTACTGTACCCCCACTCCAACAAGGTAACTAGTACTGTACCCCCACCCCAACAAGGTAATTAGTACTGTCCCCCACTCCAACAAGGTAACTAGTACTGTACCCCCACCCCAACAAGATAGCTAGTACTGTACCCCCACTCCAACAAGGTAACTAGTACTGTACCCCCACCCCAACAAGGTAACTAGTACTGTACCCCCACCCCAACAAGGTAACTAGTACTGTACCCCCACCCCAACAAGGTAACTAGTACTGTACCCCCACCCCAACAAGGTAACTAGTACTGTACCCCCACCCCAACAAGGTAACTAGTACTGTACCCCCACCCCAACAAGGTAACTAGTACTGTACCCCCACCCCAACAAGGTAACTAGTACTGTACCCCCACCCCAACAAGGTAACTAGTACTGTACCCCCACCCCAACAAGGTAACTAGTACTGTACCCCCACTCCAACAAGGTAACTAGTACTGTACCCCCACCCCAACAAGATAGCCAGTACTGTACCCCCACTCCAACAAGGTAACTAGTACTGTACCCCCACCCCAACAAGGTAACTAGTACTGTACCCCCACCCCAACAAGGTAACTAGTACTGTACCCCACCCCAACAAGGTAACTATTACTGTACCCCCACTCCAACAAGGTAACTAGTACTGTACCCCCACCCCAACAAGGTAACTAGTACTGTACCCCACCCCAACAAGGTAACTATTACTGTACCCCCACTCCAACAAGGTAACTAGTACTGTACCCCCACTCCAACAAGGTAACTAGTACTGCACCCCACCCCAACAAGGTAACTAGTACTGTACCCCACCCCAACAAGGTAACTAGTACTGTACCCCCACTCCAATAAGGTAACTAGTACTGTACCCCCACTCCAATAAGGTAACTAGTACTGTACCCCACCCCAACAAGGTAACTAGTACTGTACCCCACCCCAACAAGGTAACTAGTACTGTACCCCCACTCCAATAAGGTAACTAGTACTGTACCCCCACTCCAATAAGGTCACAATTACTATGCCCCCCTCCCCAACAATGTAACTATTAATATTTTTTTTAAATTGGGGGGGGGGGGGGTGACACATTGATGTGCTGCATCGAGTAACACCCGACCTAGCGACGCCATTGTTTGAAACTTCATTCTCTGAATATTGTTGTTTTAAGGTACTAGTGCTGAAAAAATACAGTGTACAGTCCTGTGATCTATTCTTGTATTTTAAAACAAACATCTTTAAGAACGTGTTATAGAATAGGTTTCTGTTAGTGGAGATTGTTTGGGCTCGAGGGCCACTTTGTGGCCGCGAATTTTAGCGGAGGGCCGCGCCGTTTAAAATGATTAATAATCTATCGTTTTAGGTGCGTAAAATCGGCCGAGGCTAGTAATGTGAAAAAATGTGACTTATTATTATGGCTTTAATACAAGTATATTGTGATATATTTGTGTCAAATATAATAGATAATTACCAAAAGTAATGTCTAAATATATACAATTATAAATGTTTGCACTAACAATTAGTGCAAACATTTACAATTGTTTGAAATTTAAAACATATGTTGTTACGCCACTGTTTTACATGAAGTGGGGCATCATCTTATTTTGTGTTGTATATACGACACTTTTAAAAAATATATAAAGCATTAGTTCCGTTAAATAAATTTCAACAATGTAAATAGTATTAATACTGAGAGTTAAGTTACATACTAGGTCCTACTTGCTCTGTTAGGTTGTATTTAGGAAACAGTGAAGTTACTAAGACATATTTCTTTTATGTGAAACTAAGTAGGTCTATCTATTTTGGCCATTGAACTGACCACAGTACCTCTTCTTATGCCGAGATAACAGAAATAGATTATGTCTCATCTGTCCTAATGACCACTGAGCTCGAAACAGTAATTAACATGTTTTATATATTAGCTAGGCCTACATACACTCGCTCATACAAATAAAAATGTGTTTAATTTTTTAATGCCTAATGTTTGCACTTTAATTTTCGTCTCTAGATCCTATACTGTCAAATCGCAAAAGTTGCATCTACAAATATTGGAAAAATATTTGCAGTTATAGCAGGCAAAACGAATAGTTCAAATCCCAGTCAAATCCCATCCGAGGACGTCCATTACAAACTGAATAAGCTGCAGGCACACCTCAGCGCATTACCGCTGCCAGAAATAATTCAAAGAGTGAAAAACTATTATAAATTCGTCTTCGTCAGAGATCCTTTTGAACGCCTAATATCGGCGTACCGAAACAAATTCTTGAGACCGGCGTCTAGTTACTTCGCTTACTTAAACAAAAAGCTTGTGTCAAAGTATAGAACTAATTTAACAGAAACAGGTGGTGTAACGTTTACAGAGTTTGTCAGCTACTTGCTTGACCAGGAACGGAAAGTTCCTATGAACGGCCACTGGCAGCCCTTCTATGAGCTTTGTTTCCCGTGTCAGATCAATTATGATTATGTGGGAAAACTAACAAGTTTCGGGAAAGACATGACCCATATATTAAAAGAAACGAGACTAACTGGAATGGTACAGATTTCCAATGAATCAACAGTGCACAGTTTTCATAAAACAGATCTGTTCTTAAAAAAATTCTACTCCCAGTTGTCCAAACCTGTCTTAAGGAAACTTTACCAAATGTATTTTCCAGATTACGCTATTTTTAACTTTCACCTTCCAAATGTTATTAAAACGATGTTAGTTTAATTAAATGCTACAGTCTAACCGGAATACGTGTTTTTTTCACATTTTCCTCTTCAAACCTGTTTAAGAAGTATTCATTCAGCGATTGTTTGTGCATTATCATTAAGAAAACCTTAAGATTATAACGTAACTTATTTGGCCAACGTTAGTTGTATTCTAAACCACAAACACTATTTGTAACTGTCTTTTACTTGTGAGGTAACTAACACTATCTGTTTTATTACTTATGGCATTTTAACAGTTCGAATGGCCCTTGCAAGTTTACTGTGGCAGGGAGGGGACTAAGAGGGAGCGGGGGGGGGGGGGGGGGAATTGTTGGGCCCAAAATTTTTATTTAAAATGTTATTTATGATTCTTTTGTTTTGTTTTTCCCTTTGTTTTTTTTAACCATTGTAAAGGTCGAGTACTCTTTCTCCTACCATCAAACATTCGCTATCGACGGCATAATTCTTTGGGGGGGGGGGGGGGGGATTTATTAGTATATTTAAAAGAAAATTAATTACTTTCTCCTTTCTGTTATAGAAGAAGTATAGTAATCGTTAAAAAAAATCGAGATTTTTACAAATCTTGACGTTTAACACCTCGCTGAGTAGGTAAAATGTTTTGCAATTTTTGTCAGATTGTCTGTGAACACGATAACTTGAGTACCGTTACAGCCAGGGTGATATATTTCATATTATATATACCTTTCAGCGTTTTTGGGTAACCGGAAGTGGAACTTGTCTTACTGTTAATTTTCAAAAGCCTATAACTAGTATAACTTGAATACTGTTTCAGATTGATATATGAAATTTCACACGCAAGTAAAAGATCTCATTTTCTGCCTTCTGTCAAATTTTGAGTGATTTCCGTGGACGTAGTAATTTACGCTATTTCCGATTTTTGAAAAAACGCAGGTGAATTTATAAAGTACTAATAATATTTGCAAAGTCTGTAAAATGTAGTTAAAAATTAACAAAAAACTACAACCTAAAACACATTGTGCACTAGTAAAAGCTCACAATAATAAAAGTTAAATTGTTATAACGAAAAAATTAAAGATAAAAACTATTGAGACATTTCAATACAGTTGTTTTAATGAAACAAAAATAACAACATTAAATATATATTTGATTTTAAAATGTACCAAAGTTCAATCTTTTACAGGGAAAGAGCATTAAAAAATCTGAACAACCATAACTGTACAAAAATGGCATTCCACAAGTCATGTAGTTTTATACTTTTATCCCTAATTTTTGCCAAATCAATAGCAACAGAATTATTTTGCACCACTTTTTTAAAGTCTCTGCCAACATTTTAACTAAACTTTAAAATCACTATTGTGAGTAGAATGTGAGTTCAAAAAGAAAAAAATAATCATTGCTTTTAACTTAATGCACTAAAATCACATACATATTTTGGTTCAATAAATCATATACAAAATTACTTTATATATGTGGAGATCTATTTTTATTAATATTAATCACCTGTAACAATGTCATCAATATTTTGTACAGAATTCAACTATTCAAAACTCTTAAAATTATTTCTTTTTATAAAACCTTTTGGAAAAAGTGAATTGTGTAATAATGGTGAGATATGGCCACAACTGTTGCCAAGATCATGATGGATTTACATTTAGAACATAATAGTTGTATAAACCTTTTTTAAAAATATAACAGCCTTGTTCTGGTAAAGCTTAATACAAATGTTTATTAAAAATTTAAACACTATGTTTAATGTCTGGGTCTATTAAAAAATCAAAGAAACATATTTAAGTGAAGCAGAAACTAAATGCAATTACTTCTACTAACTTTAAAGAGGTCTTTTTAAAAATCATACATGTAATTGTAGTTTAATGTTATGCATGATTTGATAAAATACAACCTGACAATTCTAAAGAAAAAAGAATTTCAAACAACATCATATATATGCTACAGTATGATAAGACAAAATTAATACATGATTACAAATTCCTCAAAAATTACTTCTTTTCATCAGACCTTTCTGATACAGTCGATTCTGGTTTTTTAGATGGTTCATCCTCTTTATCTGGAGATGGCAAATAGTTTAGTAACATCAGTAATATGCATAACAAATTATAAATTCTATTTGAATGTATCTACCAGCGAGACAAAATCTGATAAAATTTCAATTAAAAAGTTTCGTTTAGTTAACTTTTAAGAGCAGTTAGCAAATGATATGTTTAAAGTGATAGTGTGAGATTTTATTTATTCTACAAGTTTTATTGAGATTTTATGGTATTTGAAATTTTGGGTTATTCTGGGAATATTTATCTATTCTGAGTTATTTTGGCATTAGAGTTTTTGCTATATTTGTTGAACTTTGGGAAATAAAGTATAGTCAGAAAAAAAAAAATTCAAACCTTGTGATGGAGGTGCTGGAGACTTTGAAGAACTTGCAGGGCTATTTCTACCACTTGTTTTGGCAGCTGAAAAAAGTTTAAAACAATTTGAAAAAATGTCAACACTACTTTAAAGTACTTACTCTTAAAATTCCTCCAAACTGTTCTTAAAATATGATTAGACAAGTGACAAAGTATAACCTGTTATAGCTGGGTTGACTAACGCTGGGCTGCTAGTCCTTGATGTAGAAGCTTGTTGTTGCTGTTGATGGAGCTGCTGCTGTTGTGTCTGCATCTGTGGTTGCTGGGGAAGGTTGGCTCCTGGCAAAACACTGGGTGTTACTAAGCGATTGAGAATGTTACGTTCAGACATCTGTAATCTTTGTGTAACTGGTGGCACTCTTGCCAGTGTTGCTGGAAGGCGTGAAACATCTTGCTTCATGTCACTAAGCAGCTCCTCCAATTGATTTAAGACTAGACATAAAAAAATAAATTCAGAATATATTTGCAAATTAATTAAATTTTTTTAAAGCAGGTTCGTACACTAGCAGTCATATCAATTAGGCATAACAGTGAGTTAATTACTTAAAATGAAAAATAATAAATAACTAATTTTAGGTCTGCTGTTTTTTTTTCATAAATACTTTAAATAGTTTTCAAATGTAAGAAGTTTACTAACCTTTATGGAGAACTGCATTGGCAGGTTTGTTACCTCCCAAAGATTCTTTGCTTAAGTGTTGGTGACTTTCTGCTAAACATTCAAGCTCTGCAAATCTACAAATTTTTGCTTTATTAATAAATGATTTCAGATTTAAAATAAAAAAGATTGATCTCATAAAAATTGAAAAAAAAACAACAAAACAAATCAGAATAAGACATACCTTTTTAAAAATCAACATTTAAATAACATGCTTTTGCACTAAAAAGTAGAAAATGATTTTTTTTTTTAAATTAGAAGAAAAGTGTAGGCTTCTTCTTTGATTTTAATATTATTTTTGGTGATCCATAATTTTTTTCAAGTTATAAAAATAGTGTTTCATTACTATAAATTTTAAAAGTATTTATTTTTGACATTTTAGTGTATTATTATAAAAAGGCTTGTTATTTAAACATTTTGTATTAATTTTTATCAATTCTTGAAAATTTTGTATACAACTAAAACCAATTACACACCAAATGAAAAAAAAAATGTGCATACAATAGTGCATTAAATAGTACTTTATACGGGAAACACAATCCTTTGCTTAAAATAAAATAGTAAAATTTTATGTCACATTGCATTGTCATCAGGTCTTGACCCCGTGCCAAATTAAAAAAACCTATTAGAAAGGGTTAAAATTTTGCTTGTCATTTTTTACCCATGACGAAAACTAAAGTATGAGAAAGCAAGTTCTATAACAAGCTTTTAATGGTGAATTATTTCAGGAAAATACTGCATTGAATGAATTTGTGACAAATTATTTTGGCAGACTTTTTTGGCCAGCCATATATAATTTAGTTAATATATTTTAAATGTATGTATTTTTGGCCAAACATATTTAAATTTAGTTAATATATTTTAATGTTTATTTGAAACAGTGCACATACCTTGCATTAAGAGCCATTGCAGGGTGGGCATGATCTTGAGTAAGGTTTAAATAGGCAGCACGCCTTAATTGTTCTTCTATCACAAGTGCTTGTTCTAACAGCTAAACATAAGAGGAAGATAATACAATCTATGTAGTGCAAATAACTGTGGCTTTAAACTAAATACATGGTGAAAAAAAAGGAAAAAAAGCACTAAACAATTACATAAACCTTCAGCATATGGCTGCTAAAATTATTGGCTAGCCATGGGACAAATTTTAAAAAGCTTAGAGATCTTACACTGATATAATTATTTTTTATTTGCTTTATACAAAATGCTTTGAGGCCTGTTAATTTCTTTCACAAACATAAATTTAGTAATATGACACGATTGTAAGACGGAATTCAGAAATCAAGTTATCAAATTTCAGCCTTATACCCCACCATCACTCTACAATATAGTTTTGTTTTGCTTTCTAAAATATTAACTAATCAATTTTTAGTACTTTTTACAAATTAAAGATGCTAGCAAAATAATATTTTATTTAAAGTTTTGTAAATGCAAATGAGACATCACATTTACTGGAACTCAACCGCCCCTGCCCCCACCTAAGTATGACAACCCATCTAAATACACAGATGATCTTCACAACAAGTCAGTAAAGGATGACCCTTGTGTTTAGTACAATGAATATGAGACAGTATTTGAATAATGTCACAATAGACAAATTGTTCTTTAAAAGCACACATGACTAGCCTAATCAAAGCAGAGTATGGTTAATCGTGATATAGTGTAATAAACTAACTCTTACCTTAAATCTTCTGGCTAAAAATTTGTTTTTTATCTCCAGGAAATTGCCTTTGCCCTGCTCAGAAATGAATGGCTCATTAATAATCTGAAAACGCAAGTCATTTTGAATATCTTGCCATCGACCATAGCCATGACTGATGAAGTTAAAGAAAAGTTTAAAGCTTTTAAATGATTTTCAATAATAAATGTAGTTTGATTTTTTAAAACCTATACAAGGTTATTACCCTTCAACAAATAATGCTCATTTCTGTCTCATTAGATTGCAAGCAAATATTCATTTGATAAAGGATACGTTATAATTCCTGCTAAAAGCCAGTAATCGTGTCGACGATGCCAAACTTCATGTTCTCTGCCTTTAGTTAGTGCTCTTTGCTCATTAGACCATAAAGTATGCAGCTCAGTAAACCCTCCATCAGCAATATTAAACATAAATTTTTGGAATTGTTCATCTTGTTTCCTAGATTCTTCACTTTCTTTCTTATCTTCTGCTTTCTCTGTATCTTTTTTGTCTTCAGATTTTTTAACCTCTTTTAAATCCTCATAACCTATAAATGTGGACATGTAAAACAATTGTGTATGCATATAAGTTGTAGTTTAACTTAATACTAATTTTCTATGGAAGGAAATGGTGGAGGCCCTATGCTCCATAAGGAGCAAAGAGGACTAAGTCAAAAGTCAAGTCAATTTTCTATTAAACCTCTAAATAAGCAACTATCAAAACATGCATTTTACTAAATGTATTAAGATTCTTAAAGAGGGTCAGGATTTTTCTTAATATACCATTATTAAAGAATGTAAACTAAGTAAAATAAAAGTATGGTTACACCAGTGATTGCAAGAAAAATAGGTGTATCAGAACAAACACATTACTTAGAGTAATATGCCCTAGTTATTTTAGCATATATATTTTAAAATAAAAACCATAACCCTGCCCCCAAAGAATAATAAAATTTAAACAAGTACCTTCTTTTTTTTTATCAACTTCTTCTTTGCTTCCTTCTACATCTTTTTTTTCTTTTGAAGAATCTGCCCAAAAAGAAATTTGGATTACTTTTGTTATGCAATGTATATAAAAATGTATCCAAAATTTTCAATTCAACTGTATTAAATTTAGTAATTAAACAATATCACAATTCAAACTCATCTGAACTGGGCTCCTTCAAATTTCATTCTTGGCATCACAAGGTGAAAAAAAAATCAGTACTAATCATTTACTATTAAAATATATTAAATAATCAATACCTTCTTTGTCAACAGCTGTCTTTTCTTTTTTATCAGCATCTGATTTATCATCTTTGATTTCAGATTCAGCCACTTCTGTTTTTTCTTTCTCATCTACTTCCATACTTTCAGTTTTACTGCATTTTTCCTTATTTTCGTTTGCTACATTCTCAGTCTGCTAAGAAGAAGAAAAACAACTTTGTCTAAACAAATTCACAATTTTGATTTTCATTACAACAAAACAATTTAAGTACACTAGAAGTACAGAGCCAGTAGTTGAAAATCACAATACCATGAGCTCTTCCTTTGGCAAATTATCTTTTTTAATATCTTCAGCTTTGTTCTCTTCTGGTTTAGTGCTTTCCTCTGTCCCTTTGATTTCTTCTTTTTCTTTATCTTCTTTTTTAGCATCTTTCTCAGCTTTTTCTGCTTCAGCTTCAGTTTTTAGCTTTTCAATAGCTTCACCAGCTTTAACATAAGGCATACTGTGAGTCCCATTAATAAGCTCAAATTCCTGGACCTACATTGGGTAAAAAGTATTAATAGAATTATTTATTATAAATAGCCTGCAACTTCTGATTTAGTTTCAGCTAAATTTAATATCTCATATAAATTATGTTTCAAAATCACATGCTGTCTTCTTCACCTTCTTTCGGACAAGGGACATAATGCCTATTCTTGTTAAAACATGTTGCCGTGACAAGCCCTCACGCGGTACTCCATCCGCAAATGATTCAGCATTATCTGCTCCAGGCTCACACAAATGGCGCATAAAGAGGGAAACATAAGCTCTAAAGACTTTTTCAGTTTTGCCTCTGAGGTCTCGGACAAGCCTATATATAATCAAAATTAAAACAACATTAAATTCCTAATTATTCCAAAAATGTAACAGTTAAAAATTAAAATCCAAAGAACAAATGGTTTTACTTGTATAAAGTCTAGAAAGAAGTAATTTTTTTTTAAAGAAACTTGTCATTTAAGTAAAATACATTGCAGAATAGGGCATGTTTCTGATAGATTGTTTAGTTAATTGTACTTTTAATTGCTTTAAAAATTGTCACAGTCCAGTGGTTCAGCTTATAAAAAGTAATATTGATCAATCTGAAATGCATACCATTGAGAATTAAATGCATCTTGAGGAGGCATACCCCATCTCATCACAGCATTTAAAAATGCTTTTCTCTGTCTGGCATTAAAGCCTAAAACCTGTATATTAAAAAATAAATATAGATGATAAACAATAAATTATTATAGGATAATTTCAACCAAATTGAATTTTTATTATATTCTCTGGAAAAAAAGTAAAAAAGAATCAACATAAAGGGCCATTTATTTATGTACAGAAAATTATGAGGTACAGATTTAGCTTATAAAACTTACAGATATGTATAAAATTGTACAGCTGAGCCTTTGAACATAGTAAATTGAATTAATATGTTCCTAAAATCAGCTATGAAGTTTTATGTTTGTCCACAAAAATAAAGAATGATTTTTCTATTGTATCATTCCTTCAATGAAGACAATGTATACTGTTAGATAACATTTAAAACTTACTTCAATTTGTCCATTTACTCTTGCCAGAAGAGGAGGCAGAGGTTTATCCTTCTCGTTTCTTCTCCTGCTGCGTGCTACATAATTATATTTCATTTTATTAAACATTCAGAGACGTTTAGATACATAAAATTATATATGGAAATATATACATATAGTACAATAAAATAACTTTCCTGAGGGGGCAAAATTAAACTGTTGGTTTTGCTATTTTTTCAAAAAAGTTTTCTTACTTGTAGCTTGTCCTTCTTGTTTATCATCAAAATCATCATCATCTTCTTCATTAACTAAAAGAAATTGTTTTTAAAATTTTAGATTGTTAAATAAGGAATAGGTATTTCTTTTGTTTTTAAAAACTAAAGTAGTAAAAAATATTCTTACATAATAAAATGCATGAACAATGCAAAAATGATGTGTTTATTTTTTTTTTAATTTGTCAGTTTGTTGTCATCCAAGTCTTTACCTACATGAAAAGTTTGAAACAGATCGGCCCAGTAGAAGTGATATTTTTTGAGAAATCCGAAATACCTTTACTACTTCCGGATCTCCAGAAATCACTCAAAATGTGATAGATTTGCAATAATAAGATCTTATACCTATGTATAGAAAAAATTTTCCTCCTAAATGAAATGATATTTATATTATCAGTGTTTTAGAAACCAGAAATAGAGTAAATTACAACTTCCAGTTATCTGTCACTCACAAATTGAAAATAATCCAAATATAAGATCCTAAGCAATATAAGAATTACATCTACCAAACTGAAACAGTACTCAAGTTAAAGTGTTCTTACAGAAAAGGGATAAATTACCACTTCTAGTTACCGGAAATCATTCAAATACTATGCATACAATTTAATACATATAAATGAAATTTCTTCTACACAATTTAAACGGGGCTCTAGTTATTGGTTTTTAAGAATAGTGGTTTTTAAGAAATAGAACTAGAAATTTGATATAATACTCATATATGAAATTTCCTCATCGTAACTGAAACTACTCAAGCTATAGTGGTTGCACACATAGACACGTACAAATTTCATAACCAAATTTCATAACCAAGTTTTTCCATTACAAAAGATATAAAATGTCAGTTTGTCAAACAAAATCTCTACTTAGGTTTCTCGTACAATTACAAAGCATTGTCTTTGCTCAATATGATAGGGTATGGAGGTGTAAATGCCGAAAACTGTCAAAATATATGTTAATTATACAATACTTCCTCTATACTCTGTATATGAGAAAGTAATAACTTTTTTATATAACTACTTTGTACCTTGACTGAAATCAGAATCATAATCTGAAAGGTTTTCTTTCCATGCTTCTTCATCATGGCCATTCATTGCATCATTATAGTTAACTTGTTTTCTAATACGCTTTCCTTTTCCAAGAGTCCTAGCCAGATCTTCCTGCTGTTGTTCATAATGATGCCGCAGCAATTTTTCCCAATAAGCAGGATCTGCATGTTCCGCTTCTTGTTTTAAAACTTCTGTCTCAGGCTCCTCCTTTTACAAAAATAAATTATTTTAATTTAAATTATTAACATTAATTTTAAGCTAAGTGTAGCACTTAACTAAAGTTAAATCCAATACCTCTTCTTCTCCCTCTTTGATTGTGTAGTTAGCAACTTTGAAAGAACTGAGGTATTCATTCATTGCCATTTCTTTTTCTTCCTGGCCTGCCTGTGTTCTGTCTAACAGCTTTCTAATTGCTTCCATATCATATACTATTCTGTCTTCAGAACCTAAGGTAAAACATTTTTAATGCTATTAAAAAATAAGTTATAAATCAAAAAGGTTTTTAAAATAAATTTAAAGTAAATTTAAAGTAAAATTAGCATTAAAATAATATCTTCTTAATTTTTCAAAAAAAAAAAAACCTGAAATAGTAGAGCTTGAATACGAGTTTATGTCAGTAGAACTTCACTGAGTCCACCCAGCTCTGATGGGTATCTTACTCACATTAGGGAAAGTAAAGGCAGCTGGGTATAGTTTTGATCATACTATGCCTTCATATGCAGGGGTCACAGAGATAAGTGAACTCTACTACACTGTCCCATGGACAGTCAGGTTCAAAAAGCAAATTTTACTTTTTTAATTTCAATTTTTTTTTTTTAAAAGTGAGCTTCAAATTTCTGGAATCTATGGAATAAACTGCATTTTAATTTACCTTCTTTAACACTTTCCTCTTCTTTAAAAAGTTCTTCTGTTCCAAATTTAAGAATATCATCTAATTCCTTTTTACTCATTGCTCCACCTTTGTTACCAAGGCCTGGTCTAACAACCAAATGTGTTAGCATCATTTTACGCTTTGCAACCTGGGTGATGCGCTCCTCTACTGAGCTACGAGTAACAAACCGATAAATCATCACCTTGTTAGCTTGACCAATACGATGGGCTCTACTAAATGCCTGCAAAGAATTTATAGCACTTTCAAATTGTAATGTAATTATTAGTGCATTGATGATTTATGATGTCATATGGTAATAAAAGAAATCAAACCTTTTTACTTTAACAAAATTAAGAAGTTTACTTACTATTAAAGCGATTAGTTTTTATAGTTCAAAATATTTTACCTGTATATCATTATGCGGGTTCCAATCAGAGTCATAAATAATAACAGTGTCTGCTGTGGCTAAATTTATACCAAGTCCTCCAGCTCGGGTAGACAATAGAAAAACAAACGCTGGTGCTTCTTTTGCTAAAAATATTTTTAAACATTTGCATTTAATTAATTTTTAATTTTTAAAGTAAATAAAAATCTTATACTAAGTTTAAATATTTAAAATATTAAATCTTTAAAAATGAAAACATTTTTTCTTGACAAACAAACCAACCAACATATATTTCTTTGATCCAGACAATAAAAACCCAATACAAGAAGTTTTCCAAGCTACTGAAACTATATTGATATGTTAGTTACATATAAAGGAACCATGTTACAACAACAAAGAGATTTTATTCATTTAAGTTTCAACTTTTATAAATGAATGAGGTAGTTTTAAACAAAAACTTGACTTTAAATAAAGCGGGAGGGAACCCCCCTAAACTTTCTCGTATATTCTTAGATAACACTACGGGGATGGCAACTCGGGACATATACATGCTTTTTAATCAGTTTTTATATACTTAAACTTTTTAAAATAGAACAGAATCTTGTAAAAATAAAATTGCGCACCAAGTGAATAGCAAACAATGTGTATGATAGTGTGAAATACTAGTACTTTATAAATTCATACGCGTTTTTGGACAATCTGAAATAGTGTTAAGTACTACTTCCAGTCAACAGAAAATACTCAAAATTTGATAGGTGGCAGAGAATTAGATCTTTTACTTATATGTGAAACTTCATTTATTTATCTAAAACAGTATTCAAGTTATAGGTTTTTAAAAAAAAAGTAGAATAAGTTCTGCTTCCGGTTACCGGAAATCGCTGAAAGGTTAATACAGAACTATCTGAACTACAAATTTGATATAATACTTATCTATGAAATTTCATCAACCTAGCTTTAACGGTACTCAAGTTATTGTGTTCACAGACATACATACACACATACATACAAACACACATACGGACAAAAATTGCAAAACTATGTTTCTCCGACTGCAGGAGTTGAGAAATGTCGAGAATTGTAAAAATCTCTATTTCGATTTTTTGCACGATTACAATACTTCTATACTTTGTATACGAGAAGAAAAAAGTGAAGAAAAATTAACCACCAAATATTAACAATGAGAAATTTAAGTTGCCTTACTATATAGATCTATGTGATGGCATGGCGTAGCGGTAGAAATCTAGTGCTCAAATTCGGGTTCAAGTTAGTAGAAAGCCCTTGAGTCAACACAGCTCTGATAGGTACCGAACTCAAGTTAGGGAAAGTAAAGGTGGCTGGGCATAGTGCTGACCACACTATCCCTTGATATGCAGAGGGCACAGAAACAGGTGAACTCTAGTTCACTTGCCAGGTTTGAATAGAGAACTTACTTTTACTACATAGAACTGTAGCCTACTTGACATACTTTGGGTGCATCAGGCAACTAAAATAAATCTACAGTATGTACAGTATAGAAAAGGGTTAAAGTATAAATTTACTTACAATTAAATCTGTCAATAGCATCCTGTCTCATGCTTCCAGTAATACCACCATCAATTCTTTCATAACGATAATTTTCTGCTTCTAAAAAGTCCTCCAGTAAATCCAACATTTTTGTCATCTGTGAGATTTTAAAACCATACATGAAATTTCCTGTTAAAGGTAAATTTACCTCAAAGTAGTGTTTTTCATTCATGCATATGGGAAAGTCTTTTTTTTAAAAAAAAAAAGGCAAACCTGAGAAAAAATAAGAACTCTATGGCCTGTTCCAAACAGCTCTCTCAACATCTTTGATAGAAGTTCCAGTTTACCAGAAGCTTTGATTAAAGCAGATCCTTCAAAAGCATTGTTGTGTGTTCTTGGAGCTTCCTGTGTTGCAAAATGTAATTAACCAGTAATGTTTTTTTTTTAAATCATACATTATATAGAATTGTAAATAATTCATTAAAAAAATGTGTTTCTACCTGTGCAGCTACTGGAAAAAGATATGGGTGATTGCAACATTTCTTTAAGTCCATCATTATATTAAGAAGTGATGTTTGATTACTTCCACCTTTAATGTTCAATGCTTCATAATTTCTTGCCAAAATATATTTGTAATATTTTCTGTAAAAAAAGAACGATGTTACAGTAAAATATATACAATTAAAATTTGCCAGAGTAGTTTGCAGGTTTCAAGTTCATGGGTCAAGCTTAAATAATGTCCACCCTTTAGTGCCAAAATTTCAGCCTCCTTTCCCCCCACTTCCTCTATATTAGAATATTAAGGACGCTGGAATAAGATATTCTGAGATAAAGCACAAGAATAAATCTAACTCATAAGATATTAAGTATTAAGTGGATGTTGATTAAAACATATTTTATCAAAACTAAAAAAGTAGTTATAAAGGTTTTTTTTTTTAAATCTCACTTCTGTAAAGCAGATAGTTCTACTCTAACAATGAACTCAGATTTTGAAGGCATCCCCTTTAAAACATCAGCTTTAAGTCGTCTCAGTAAATGTGGTCCAAGCATATCATGAAGTTTTTTCACTTGATCTTCTTTAGAGATATCAGCAAATTCATCCAAGAAGCCTTGAAGATCACTGTAAATATTGAAATAAAATACAATTTATCTAAAAGCAATCCAAAACAATAAGCCCACTGAGATAAAAATATTCTTAAACAAAAATGTAAATGGATTTCATAGATTATAATGCAAACTTCAATAAGATCAACATGCAGTTTTCTTAAAATTATATAACTGTTACATTGTGAGGACAGGGTCTAAGGACAACGTACGACGATCCAATATCACTCAATAGAAATCACTAAACAGAACCGCAATTGTACTTTCCTTGGTTTTTATTGTACTATTTAAATACATAATGGACACGGATGACCACATTGACATTTTACACCCTAACACAACATGACTAAGATTGATTAAACTCTATCCCCTAACTAAATCATACTCTCCCATGTCACATCCTTACTTGCCTCGTCACATTCAAAATCTTTTATTAATATAAATCATTCCAGAACATACCTACTCTCATACCTATTCAGTACACTAAATTACCATTCACAACAATAATAAGGCACTAGCATTTATAAAACTGTAAAGAAAAGTGAGGGTGTCTCATACATTTTATGAAGCATTTTTATCACAAGCATTTACAGCAACAATAACTGAATTTTCAAAAATAAATTAATAATTGGCTTCTGCCCATAAAATAAAATATTACTGTTCACAACTTATTTTGAAGGCAAGGTAACTAAGAAGAATGTTTAATGTCACAACTTTTATCAGCACATTGATGTTAATCATCTACATTACTCAAACAACTTACATTATTATTTTCAAGGAAATGGAAAAATTGTTATTTTTAATCTAGACCTTTAGCTACAAAAAAAAAAGTAGATTAGGAATTGAGAAACTGTCATTGCATGATGACCATTCACAGGGTCAGAAAATGTTCACACCACTTGCCTTGATATTGGATGAGTAGGGAAGGGGGAGATGTTACATAAGCAGCCAGTAGATAGAAGAACAAGCTATTACAGCTGTAAACAAAGGTTACCAAAAGAAAACAATCTAATTGATGCTCGTCATGGTTTTATGTTTTTAAAGAAGGTAAAGGAGTAACCTTTTAAACATAATCCTAATATTGTAACCCTTGTGCCAAAATTGTAAAATTATGGGCAAAATCATAGTTATTTTTTAACATTTATTTTAAACAAAATGTTTTTAACCACTCAACTAAAACTGTGTGCGTTTATCTGTTAAAGCAGTCTCTCACTGTTATTTACAAATCAATAGTTTAATATAGCTAATATTTAAAACAGAAGAAGTGTTAGTTACTCTAAAATAATCATGAAAGTCTAACATTGTAATTTAATGTTTCCTTTGTAAACTACTTTATAAAATTTAAATTTAACAAAAAAGGAAATAAATTTTATTTTGAAATTAAGCTAATAATAATTTAAACTGTAATGATCTAGTTGGACTGTCATTATAAATTTTAAATTACACCTTATATATATATTCTTAAACATGGTAAAACATGCAAGTCTTCAACAGTAAAGAGCCTAAATCTAGACTAATTGCAAATTACAAGTTTTAGTTTGTGAAACGGAATATGAAATCAACCAGATTTGCTGAAATTTGAAAGGAAAGAATCAAAATTAAAAACTGTTAGTGTTTTTTTTCTCCCACAAACAAGACGTTTAAAATGCTAGAAAACAAATTTTAGCAATTATTTGGCATTTTAGAAAACTGTTTTAAAAATTGTAATAGAAATTGATTAAAAAAATCTATGCTGACAGAGTTCAGACAAGATTTGGGAAAAATATAGCACAATTTTGAGGGGGGGTTGTAGGCTGAAGCGTGACATCATCTTAGGGAGGGGTCTGCTTAAACAAGATTTTTGTTAAACATTTTGTTAAACTTATCAAGGTAATATTACGATATAGTGTCGGTTATTATTCAGGAACAGTACAGCAGAAAAAACGTCACACTATCAGTGTTTCATCCAGGCATTTTTTCGGGGGGGGGGGGGGGGGGGGGGGAGGAATTTCCATAGAAAATATATAATTTTAACATTGTCGTTAAAAACAGTCCGTAAAATTTTCTTCCACAAAGACACGGTTGGACTCACGTTGAGTTCAGTTGTTTTTTTAAATCTGTAGGCCTATAGCATATCATATGTATAGAAGGAACAGCTATTTGAAATTGACTGTGACGTCATTTATCTTTTTTCCCCCCACAAGCAGTTCCAAACACATCTTTGGTTCATGGTGAGGTCACAAGAGCCAGATTGCAAAATAAAATAGAAGCAGAGAGAAACTGTAGATTTGGGCGGGTAATAAGGCAGATGGATAAATTAGGCTATATTGGTAGCTAGATTACCAGGCTTGGGAGATGTAAGATTCATTAGAAATACAGCTTTATTTTAGATTACTTTTTCCCGTGTTTTGTTATAAATATTTAACTGATGATAGCGGAAAAGTTGGACTAAAAATGTGCGTTCTGAAAAACTCTGTAATTTGCATAAGTTCTGAATCTTGACCTAGATCTACATTTCATCTTGATCTAGCATTGTCAGACATAGCGCAATCATCCAATTAAAAATAAATGTGCAATTTGGGTGTCCGTTTGACGCAAGTACTGTAATTCTCTATTTAAATCCGAATATTTGGAATGCACAGGTCGGCTGTTTCTGTAGAAGAAATTTCTGTTATTTTTTCCTAATTTTTAAAAATCCGTAAAAAAATAGACAAAAAACGAAGAAAACTGGCGGAAAAATTAGGCGAAAATGAAATCAGCAGAGGAAAATTGAAGCTGCAAAAATCTGATTTCCGCTACTAAATTCGGAAAAGTCACATCCCTGTAAACATGTACTTGGGTTAATTGTGAGTTCACATACAAGGTGAGTTGAATCTTGATATAGATTGAATCTTTATCTAGTACAGAGATCTAGCCTAATCACCAAATTGAAAAGAAATGTGCATTTTGATCATCTGTTTTGAATTAAGTGACAACAAAGAAATCATTAGACCAAGCGTAATATGACTATTTTAAATAGGAACATGTGGAATGTCAGCTGTTTCTGTAGAGATCATTATAGCTTTTGTTAAACACAAAAATCAGCAAGAATCTGTGGCAGAATTATTTGGGAGGAAATGAATTTAGCACAATAAAATACTGCTCAAACGGAAAATCAGATTTCAGCAAAATGTCACATCATTGAAGTAAGTCAAAGTTTATGTCACATTGCACTATAATCAGGTCTTGAAATGCATGTTGTGTTTGAAGCACTATCATCAGGTCTTGAAATGCATGTCGTGTTTGAAGCGCTATCATCAGGTCTTGAAATGCATGTTGTGTTTGAAACAATTCAGTTTGGTAGCAATGGTTGAAATTTAGTTCTTAAGTTATGATCCATTACAAAAACAAGATGAAACAAGTTTTTAAAAAAGCTTGTAAAAGAAATCACTGTTTTAGTGTCCTTTTCTTTTGACTTACATTTTTGATGTTCTATAATTTTATGTTTAATTTCAACTTTTTTGTAAAGTGACATTTTAAGCAAATTATTATTATTTTAGTTACCTGAAATTTTCAGGTGTCAGGAAGTTAAGCAAATGAAACAATTCTTCAAGGTTGTTTTGTAATGGTGTTCCGGTTAACAAAAGCTTGTAGCCTAGTTTGTAATTTGTCAAAATTCTGAAAAACTAGAAAATTAAAATAATTTTTAATAATCCAAACAGTATGTTAAAGTATATGGTAAAAAATAGTAAATTTAACAATAAAAGAATCTGTTTCACCTACTTTTGACTGATTATTCTTCAACCTATGGGCCTCATCAACTACCAAAACAGCCCAATCAACAGAACCTAGACATGCTGCATCAATGCTGATTAACTCATATGAAGTTAACAAAACATGAAATTTAACATTACAGCCTTGCTTCATTCTGGATGCTTTGGCACCACCTCTTATTGCATTATCATCAAATGAGAATTCATGTTCTCTGAAACGAGGTCATACAACATTAAAGAAAATAGAACAAGAATCCAAGTTTTATGCAAAGAAAAATTATTTAATATGTAAAAACAAAATTTAATTAAAATACCTAATAACAATTCTGGAGTCTTTATCTCCAATATATGTCACCACATAAAGATCAGGTGCCCAGAATTCAAACTCTCTCTCCCAGTTGATTATAGTTGAAAGAGGAGCACTAACTAAAAATGGTCCTTTACAATGTCCCTTTTGGTAGAAAATATTTGAAGATTAAATATATATTTTAATAAAATAAGTTTCAAATTTGTACATGCAGCAAATTAAACATTCACAATTTTAGCACACCAAACAACTTTATCATTAACTTTTAACCATAGATAATACTAAAAGTACATCTTTTATACCTCTTTATAAAGAGAATACAAAAAAGTGATGGTCTGTATAGTTTTTCCAAGTCCCATCTCATCTGCCAATATGGTATCTGTATTATTAGCCCATGAATAGCGTAGCCAGTTCAGACCTTCTAATTGATAAGGATGCAAGTTTCCACCAGTTTCATCTAAATAAGATGGCTGTTTATCAAGTTGTTTACGCAGCTATGGATTGATTTAAAAGATTAAATTACAACAAAAGATGGTTGCTTTTATAAAAAAAGGATAAACAAATATTACCTCAATTTAAAACCAAAACAAAAGTTATCGGTACCATTACAATAATACATATGCAAATATTTAAAAGGTGAACATTTTATTATTTTAGGCTGAGACTTTATACCAACAATATCAAATGACTAAATAAGCTAACTTAATTCAGTGTAAAAACAGACTTGACAAAAATGTAACAATCAACACTTTCAAAATTTAATGTTAGTGTTGGATTTGAAACTTTCATGAAACTTACATCAGTTGTAGGATAAGCTGGAGGCATTTTTGATAAGATATCTTCATCCAAATCTCTTTTTTCTCTTTTCTGTTTTCCTTTACTTTTCTTCCCAGCTTTTTTGGTTTGTGGAGGTTCATCATTACCATACATTACAAGTCTATAAATTAAAGATAAATTGTATTCAAAAGTTTGTGTATAAACAAGGTGAATAGCTACAAAGATTAAGTTCATAAGGCTTTTAACCTGAGATTTTTGTAGTCATCAATAGCAGTCTGTAAATCAGCTATATCAGCATCTTCTTTTTCCCAAGTTGCTTGATCATATGGCAAATCTCTCCATTTTACCAAATAATAAGTGCCTTTATCGGTCTCCCTACAAAGTACACACAAGTATTAAACTTAAAGTAAATGAATGCAATAGAAATTAGAAGACATTAGCTGCTGCTTATATTAGCCTGCTGCACAAATAAACATTAAACCTCAATGACATACATGTGGTTAATAATCCTATGAATGTTCAGCCATTCTGGTCGCACACCATATCTGTAAAATCTATCTTCAAGGTTATGCGGGTCCTCTTCTTTCATTTTATCTTTGTAGCTGCTTCCATCTTCAAGTGGTGGTGGTTCATCCATATCTACTCTTCTGATGTAATTACGATACAAGGCTGGATGGTAAACATCGAGCTGGCAAATAAAATTACAATTAATCTATTATATCTATTCAAAGTAAAAAAAATTATACTTGATTCTTGAGTACTAATGTATTGGATTAAGAGGTATTCAGTTTAAAATCATGTTACCTGCAGTTCGGAGACCCAAGAGCAATGCCAGTAAGACATATCTGCCCACTTTATGAAGAACTCGCGCAAAGGTTTCTGAAAAAATGTAAGTTATGGGTAAAAAATTCATGGAAATATACTACATTTGGCTAAAAATGCAGCATCAAGAATAAACATGTTTTTCTTCTTATTTAACAAGCTTATATTAAAAAACCTAAGATGATATTATGTTTATCCTTAAAGTTATAATAAAACCATTACCAGAGTCTGTTTCTTTGGAGGATCATGATGAGTATGGTCTAATTCATCGTCAGTCTTAGGGGGTTCACACCATCTCCAAGTAAGTATTTTCTTCACTTTACCCTTTAAAGGTTTGCACTGCAATAAAAATGCAACAAGATCTTGCATATCTAGATCGAATGACTTTTCAAATTTATTAAGCTGAAAATTTTGTAAAGCTTACTGAGCATCTTGGACAGTGCCATTCTCCATCTGGCACACCTTTAATTGGAGGATTTAAACAATGTGTGTGATAAGCAGAAGGACAGAGATCACAACATAGCAGCTCCCCACCATCTTTACAAACTCTACAAAATTCCATGTGATCATCTTCTTCTTGCTCCTTTATTCCTTCGCCCTCCTATATATGCAAATGCAAATATTTTAGTTCAAGTAAGAACATACAGAAAAAATATTCAGTCAATATTCCAACAAACATCCAAATACATTTCTTTTTCAGTTATGTTAATATTTTGATAAAAACAACATACACAGTGAGGACAACTCCATTTTCCTTCAGGTGCCTCTTCAAGCTCAGGTTCAAGACATACAAGATGGTATGCACGCGGACAAGTATCACAAAGAATGATTTCTCCACCTTGCTGACATACTTCACAGTAATCCTGATGCTCAGTCTATATATATATAAATAACACAATGTGATTAATTTAATTTTTAAATTCTATAAAAGAAACCAATAATTTAGAAGTGAGAAAATGTGAAACTACCTCATAACCATCTGCATCAGGGTCATTTGGATATTTGCTTGTCAGCTTTGTTTTCTTTTTTCTTCCTCCACGTCCCCTTTTTGTCTTCTTCTTTCCTGATTTATCTTTTTCCTGCTCTTTAACTAAAGCAGCTTCTTCTAACTGGCGTTCGAATTCTTCGTCACTAGTATTAAAACCTTTTTCTCCATCATCATCCTGTATTTGAAAAACTTTAATTTATGAAAAATCATGTAATAACTGGTTATTCTGAAACTAAATTAAGAACAAATATAAAATACTCATCTAAATCATAAGAAGTATATTGTACGTATGTGCTTAACAACATTTAAGCTTTGAAAATAAAAAATGCTACATTGGGTATCCCAGGCTAAGCATGCCATAAGCTATGTTACACCTTATCTTAGCAGATAAAATAGCAGTTTGCCTAAAATATTCAACTTATGTCATGGTTGAGTCAGAAGGAACTAGCAAGAACAACTCACGTTAGAAGTTTGAAAAAATCTTACAGAGCTATTCTTCTTCTTCCTTCTTTTCTTGAGCTTTATTTTGAGAGGAGCTAAAGCAGGTGCATTTGCCTTCTTGGATTTAGACCTTTTCCGAGAACCTGACTTTTCCTCCTCCTCTGCTTCTGAGTCATCATCATCATCTGCATCTAAAATTATTCCCATTTTGTAATGAAGTAACATCAGCCCTAAATAATTACAGAATAACAGTGAGTAGGTCAAAATTTAAAAAACCAATACCTCTCTGTGGTGTAGAAGGAGAGTCTACAGGAGTTTTGACTGAAACTACAACAGGAGCTGGAATATCAGGTGGTCTGTCACTTTTAAAAGGATTGTTAGCAACAAACTCTCTCCATTTTATACCCAACAGCATGACCAGCCTTTGCTGGGGAATCTATAAAAAAAAGGCGTATTCTACTATACACATTTGTAACATTCATGTATCTATGTAGAGTAACTGTGCCTACCTTGAACGTGGACCAACCTCTAACACCTTCACTTTGAATAGTCATAGCACTGTTATTCAGAAGTTTTATATGTAACAACTTCTGTGTCAAAATTAGCTACAATGAATTGCCGATAGAGGAATGAATAATTCCAGTCTGCTGGCAGCCATTTTTATGTTACACATGACCTGAGACACATTCCGACTTTGTGCCTTTTTAAATGTTTAAATGTTTGGCTGTAGAGTATTTACGAGCTTTCCTTTTCATTCTTTGTCAAATAATAATGAAACTAGGTGGCGCGAAGTGAAAGCTAGTATAGAGGTGTTCGATGTTGAAAAATTACAGTAACAGGTTATATGTAAACATGCAGCAAAAACATTATGCTAGTATACTACCTTAGGGTTTTCTTTTGTCAACATAGGTCTCATCAGCTGGCTGAATAATTTGTAATTGGTAACATTCTTGTAATCTTCTTCAGAAAAATCCATTGTGACATTTTTTAAGCCATTTTCATCACAGAACTCTTCAGAGGACTTCTAAATACAATAATTTAAATGATACACTGATATTGTAAACAATGCATATAATTAATGTCTTTTTCTTTCCTTTATGTCTCTTGTGTTTGTTTAACAAATTTTTACTGCACACCCCCCCCCCCCCCCCCCCCCCCCCCGTTATCTACCCTTGTAAGTGAAGCCTTTGTGATAAGCCATGCAATTATTCAGGCAAACCATTTTAAAAATGGGACTAGGTTAAAAACAATAAAAGATAAAACAATAGTACCTGAGCAGGTCTGGTTGGCGCAGGAGTTGCCTGTACAGCTGATCCTTTTTTTCTCTTTTCTTTAAGAGGTTTAAACCCAAAGGACTTATCATCTTCTGAACCATCACCCTCACTTTCCTATATTACATTTAAAAACTTGTTAAAACACTTACAAAACCTCTCTGGAGGTTATTAGATAATAAATGCAACTTAACTTTAAATTACAATTTAAAAGAAAAATGTTCTGTAGCATGATATTCTTTTAATGGCATTCTTTTATGAGTAATGCTGTGTTGCTTTTATGACCTTAATGTCTCCAACTGTGAGTATGCTCACAACAAAAATTGCACAAAACAGTTGTTTAGCTCGACCTGTCAAGCCTTAAATAGTTTAAGAAAAATTTCCATTTAGGCTACTGGGTTAATATATACCTCAGCATCACTTCCATGTTTGCGTTTCTTTTTTTTGGATCTTTTTTTGCGTTCACTGCTATCTTTTTGTTTTCTTTTCCGACCTCTTTTACTTGGCTGCTTTTCAACAATTTCCTCCTCTTCTTCATCCTCTTCTTCTGCTAAGAGTAAAAAATGGATCTGGGTTACATTCGTGTAAAGAACCTTGCTTTTAATCAATTTGGATAGAAATTGGATAATCTTTAAACCCTAACTAAGATTTATATTATTAATATATGAGCCAACCCGCGGCATATCAAACGCCGCTATTTTGTTGTTTTTTCTACTTTTCAGTTATTCATAATTTGTGAATTCGACACTACCAACGCTGCCACCGAAAATATTTCTTTAAAACACTATAAGTATAAGTAGCTCGTTAAAGATGATAACCCCCCTCCTCCCCCCTCCGTTAAAGTAAACCCCACTTAGTTACCCGCCCCTACGTTTAAAATAGTTTCAAACTAAATTATCTGCCCCTAATAGTCGTCACTAAACCCGGCTATGTTTGTAAACATTTAGAGTGAACCACAGCTCAGTAGTACATAAACTCTATTTGTGTATAAAAATATTGTAACGCGACGCCTGTTTAAAGAGGGCGATTTGAAGCACAGCCGAGCGGTTCAGTCAGACAGAGGTCGGCGCGTCATGTATTGATTTTCGGTCCACTTCAAAGTCTATAGACGTCGCTATCTTAGGGCATTATAGTACATATCATACATATTAATAAATGTCCAGATTTCAGCAACACAGCGCAGGGTTCAAATTAAAAATCGGTCTATAAATAACCCGGGAAACTTGGTTCAACTTTGCTGTACGATATCTCCGAAAGTATTTAATATATTTTGACGACCAACCCTGCGCTAAATACGTCTACATCTAATCTGTATATCTGCCAAGTTTCACTGTTGAGGTACGAAAACTCGAAGACTCTATAGACTCATAGTAACAACCCTGTTTTTAAAAGTTGAAAGTCTCCCCCCGTTCAACGTTTGAAATCATATTCAAATCAAACTTATACAGTTTAAAAAGTTATTCAATTACGAACAGAATGATGTATAACATGTTAATATAAACACAATAAAAGCATGCAAAAAAAGTGTTGAACACGCAGGGGGTAGGGAAAGGCCGATTTGTCCGATTTTCTCGGCAGCGGCATTGGCTTAGCTATATAAATAAAGATACTAGGCCTACAAAGTTATAACAAATTTGACAGTATGGTTTGCAAGCTAGGACAATTTCAGTAAACGCATAAAAAAACTCACAGAACTTGAAAAAATCCTGTTAAAAAAAAAGGCCCATGCTAGCCGGAAAAAGACATTCATGCGCAATGGAGAGAAACCAACTTGCCATCGCGACGATGTTTTCGATGGTACTGCGCATGCGTGTGTTTACAACCACAGAACCCTAACCCTATCTTTTGCAGACTAAGTGGAGACGTTGGGGAGAAAAATCTTTTTCCGAGTAGGCCTAGTCACTTCGTAAAAAAAATCACCTTTTTTTATAGGAAAAAAAATCATAACCATTTAACCATTTGAGCTACATCAAAAAGGAAAACTGGGATGATTAGGCCTATAGATTAGATTTTCTCACTTAATCTAAAATTTACCCTATTTTAAATTTAAACATGACCACTGAATGATAGACAACCGTATTTAATCCATTAGGCACTAATTTTGAAGCTTTTAATTCATTTTAAACAAAATTAGGCCTACTTAATTTAATATTTATTGTCACTCTCTGCCATGCACAACACACCTCTCCATGACAACTTCTCTTATGTTTGAAGCTTAAGAAAACCACGAATCCGGTTAGACTTTTTAAGCGGCCATGCACCCAGAGTTCCTCAATAGTGATCACGAAATAGCGGTCACGTGGTTTAAAAAAATAAATAAAAGTGGTTAGCAATATTTGATTTCTTTTTACATAGACTGATACTGATAAACATAATAGTTCTACAGACTTCAATTCAATTTTGTACTCTTCAGGTTGATATTTAAAAAGTTCTAGTATTTTTAATGAAACCAACTTTTAAATTAAGGCTTCATTTTCCAACGCAAATTTTGAAATGCTTTTCTGGCATTTTTAGCCTTGCCACCTATAGTTTGTTGTTATAGCGTGAAAACCCCGCCATTTTGCTCGTGGTAAACATTTTTAATAGTAAATTGTAGAAGGTCACTGGAATTAGGCCGAAAAAACCTCGGAAGTCATGCGTCCGGTCCGGAAACCACCTTGTTGTAAGCAACCGACCACGCCTCCAAGTTAGCAAGTAATACTATTATAGATACCGGTGTCCGATAATGGAATCTTCTTTAAAAAAGGGGTGTTGGGTTGTTAGTAGTATTGTAATCTCGACTAATTTTATGGTTAGAAGTTAGGGTTAGGCGTATGGTAGGACCAGGGTTGGGGTTAGGGACAGGGTTAGCATAGCCAGCCATCTGTGCACTTAGTTAACTAACAGTAACCTAACACCCCTTTTTTAAAGATGATTCTATTTTCGGACACTGGTGTAAACCTTCTCCCCGAAAACTGTTTTGTTATTGTAATTTTTTACTCCTTTTAACTGTAGATCTAGCTAGATGTTTTTTCCCAGTTAAACCAATTTTAAAAATGTATCCTAGTACCTTGAGTCTACATATTAGAGTAGAAAGGCAGCTGAGTAACACAGTACTTTCGGTTTGTTTCTTTGTGAAACGATTACAAAATAGCGCCTGATGAAAATCTGATGTTCGGAATTTTTCACTATGTCTGATCGATTTGCGAAATTTACTCTAGAGTAAAGTTCCACGCGCGGTCACACATAGCGAACTCCCGACTTTCATCGACTTTTTTGTAACCGTTTAACACAGAAACAAACCCAAAGTACTATATTATTCCTCTGCCTTTCTACTCTTAATATGTATCAATCATTTTATATTCCTACGCATTGAATTTGAGATATTCATGTTTTAGTGACGTGCTACTTGCGATATTTTTTTCCCCTCTTTTTTTTTCCCTGCGGCCATCTGAACCGGCCTGCGTAACGATCGTGTTTTATACGTTTTAATCCTAGTTTAATAAATAAAATAAATATTTTACACTTTTAAACGTGTTGTTGATTGTATTATTAATTAATAGATTTCAAAACCAAATTAAAAACATGTTAATTAAATTAATTAACGACATTAAAAGTTGACCCAGTGATGACTCAAGGGACGCAACTATAATAATCATAACAAAGGGACGTAACAACCACTGACAAGACATAACGTAACATTTGCTTAGATATGCTTGTATGTAGAGACACAAACTAGATTTAGAAGAAGTAGATGATCGAAATAATTTAAAACAGCAGAAAAAATAGAAATTATATAGATTCTAGGCTTAGCTTGAAATGTAGAGCATCTAGAACTAGGCTAGTCTAGCTCAAGTCGTTGGTTACGCAGCGCGGTGAAACCACCCAAATCGACACCCAAGCTGCGGCCACCCCTATTCACCTATCAGGTTGCTTTATTAGCCTAATCTATCGTATGTACAGTGTCCCGCACATATTGTAGAAGCTATTTATAGTTAACCTAGTTATAAAAAGCTTTGATTGGTTGGTTTATTCATCTCATCCGGGACTTAGTGTTTTTCATACGGGGAACTAGAATCGCCTTCGACGTCATACCTCGAAACTTTAAAATTCCTACGCATTGAATTTGAGATATTCATGTTTTAGTGACGTGCTACTTGCGATATTTTTTTCCCCTCTTTTTTTTTCCCTGCGGCCATCTGAACCGGCCTGCGTAACGATCGTGTTTTATACGTTTTAATCCTAGTTTAATAAATAAAATAAATATTTTACACTTTTAAACGTGTTGTTGATTGTATTATTAATTAATAGATTTCAAAACCAAATTAAAAACATGTTAATTAAATTAATTAACGACATTAAAAGTTGACCCAGTGATGACTCAAGGGACGCAACTATAATAATCATAACAAAGGGACGTAACAACCACTGACAAGACATAACGTAACATTTGCTTAGATATGCTTGTATGTAGAGACACAAACTAGATTTAGAAGAAGTAGATGATCGAAATAATTTAAAACAGCAGAAAAAAATAGAAATTATATAGATTCTAGGCTTAGCTTGAAATGTAGAGCATCTAGAACTAGGCTAGTCTAGCTCAAGTCGTTGGTTACGCAGCGCGGTGAAACCACCCAAATCGACACCCAAGCTGCGGCCACCCCTATTCACCTATCAGGTTGCTTTATTAGCCTAATCTATCGTATGTACAGTGTCCCGCACATATTGTAGAAGCTATTTATAGTTAACCTAGTTATAAAAAGCTTTGATTGGTTGGTTTATTCATCTCATCCGGGACTTAGTGTTTTTCATACGGGGAACTAGAATCGCCTTCGACGTCATACCTCGAAACTTTAAAATTTAAAAACTCGACTTCCAGAAGGAGAAAAACAAAAGTATTTGACCTGGATATATTTAGAAATGGACAGGTTTACAGCAGATATCGGTAGTTTCGTATAAAACATCAAAACAAATATTGTACGAAGCGATAAACAGGCGATGACCGCACCGGTGTTTTAACCGCGCGTGGAACTTTACTCTAGCTCTAGTCTCGGACGATTTAACGTACCTAAACTAAATTACGAGGCGTAATACTAGATCTAATTTGATAATAAATTTAAGTAGATCTACCTTCATCAAGATCATCATCTCCATCTACACTAAATTCGTCTTCTTCTCTCCTCGACATGGCTGATTCAGATAAAGCTTTAACAAATGAACAAAAGTGTCTCGAGTTTAGATTTTTCTAGAACTAGATTTCTAGATTCTTAATATAAATATTATAGCATGTGATGTAGCCTACTGTTTACTGTTTACACTTTGCACCACACACAGTCATGGATCTAGAGTCTAGTATATAAAACTAGAATCTAGGTCTAGATAGAACTTATCTAGATCTAGGTTAGATCTTCGTTGTTTGTTCGTAGCCAATTGTAGAGTTTAAGGACTGGATCTAGATCTAGAATCTAGATTCTAAACTAGACAGATTCACAGATCTTAGAGCCTAGACTAGATCAGATCTTTAGGAACATTTCCAGTCACAGAAAGCCGCTTTTACATTTAGAACATGCGCAATCGACGCTCATTTGACATCCCGTAATTTCTATCCCATAATTTCTATCCCATAATTTCTATCCCATAATTTCTATCCCATAATTTCTATAAAAAAATATCCATCCCATAATTTTTAATAAGGTATAATTGTAAATATGGATATGAATAGAGTATGGTAATAATTATTATTGACATCCGCATTTATTTTTAAAAGTTGCCAATAAAATGTCCGTGCCTTATTATTGATCTAGATTTTAATCAAATCTAAATGATTAAAATAAAAACAAAAACAACAACATTGGAAACTGAATTTAGATCTAAAGATCTAAGCTTAGACTCCCGTAGTTAATCTAATAGTGAGAATAGATATTTGAAAAAGTGGTCATTATTGGGGAAGGCCTAAGTGAATGCGCAATTGTTAGAACTGGTGTCATCTACTTATGACGTCCACAAACATTCGGAATTGTATACCACCCCCCCCCCTCAATGTGGACGTCCAAAAAAATTCAGTAGACCTCCGGTGTTTCTTCCAGGCATCTCTTCGCCCCCCCCCCCCCCGAACAAAATGGAATTTGTATAGAAAATATATACTTTTAACAGTGCCCCCCACGGAAATTTTAGTCAGCCCCCCCCCCCCCTCTGGAAATTTCAATTTCTGCTAATATACAGTAAGCTTTGATTTTGACGGTGCACCGTCAAAACGGTCCAGGACAAAACGGCCCAGCACAAAATGGCCCTTTTAAAACGACTCCGTCAATATGACCCGTCAAATCGACACCCTACAAAACGACACCGTCAAAATAGCCCCGTCTAAAAGGCCCCGGCATTTTGGCTCCAGTCAAATGGGCCCCCGTTATATTGACTCGCGACATATCGGCTCCCGACATAAGGGTTCATGACAAATGGGCTCCCGACTAATGGGCTCCCGACATATTGGTTCCAGACAAATGGGCTCCCGACATAATGGCTCCCGACAAAATGGCTTCCGACATATTGGCCTCAGACAAATGAATCGTATGACTACTAATGGCATAAAAGTAACAGCTTTGTCCAACCCACCAACCACATGCAGTTCCTATTTCCACTACTACTATAACCTCTTTTAAATGCCTGAATGAAATTTGTTTCATGAACCAACAGCAATTTATAAACAAATCAAGCCCTTACAGCTATATTCTACCAATTTTAAAATTCTGATAATGTTTTATTTACAACAGGAAAGACCTGTAACTTAAAAGCGCGCACAGAAGTTTAAATGTATGATATAAGACCTACATGATATTACATAATAACGACATTTTTTTATAGCCTACATGCATACTGCAGGTAGGAATGTACCGTGAAATGTTTTAGATAATGGCCGCGGTCACTGCCCCCAACCCTCCCTCCCGATTGCAAAAAAATAAAATAAAAAATCTGCCGCTTTTTTACTTAGGCGTGCGGTATACAATTACATTGTTTGCACATTTATTCACACTAGGAATATTCAATGCAAGAGCTGCCGATTTAATGTACAACCTACATTTTATGTGCAGTTTTGTTCTGTTTTTTTTTTAGATAAGTAATTTGTTGATAATAAACTCAACATGCATCATGTAGACGTCCACAATGACTCGAACCGATTTTTTTCTCACCCCCAATGGATTACCTCTTAGCCTGTGTTTAGTCTAGTTCCAGGGATCTCCCCCCCCCCCCCCCCCCACACACACATTATAATTATTCCAAAAATAATGACGTTCAGTTTCAGGGTTCGGATGAGCTGAAGACACACACCCGATTCATATGATTCACGATTGGATTTTGACAGTGCGGGTGATGGAACTATTAAGAAGGGTTCGGTGAATGCGCATTTAAAACTGGTGGGGTTCGATACCTCCATAAAGGTTAAGAACCACTGGTTAGAGGGTAGTTTATAGAATGCGCAAGTTTATTTGGTCTACTTTTCTTCGTGTTCTCAGAACAATTTCGATACTAGTATATTACAGTTTTAAATTATCAGCTAGGTTGAACAAAGTAACAAAGCAATAGTAGTCGAGTAGTCGTAGTGTTGTACAAGTTTTACCTTGTTTAGTAGGTCTAGTGGCCCCTACTATTAAACAAGTTAATAAAAAGTCTAGTGACAATTTAAGCGCAATTTCATTTTGTTTGACACATCCCTTTCCCCATAGATCTATATCTATATATTGCTATATAGTACTGTAGTGTATTATGTAAAATGTAATATTTTTTTTTAAATTTGTGACCGAACGAAAGAATATTTTTGAAAACTTTCTTCGGCAATATTGTTCTAAATTATGGCAGGAATCGATTGGTAAATGTTTCAAGTCGCTAAGTGGTCTGGTTGCCGAGATATGGGCCAAAAACTGCATTTTTTCGAGGTTTTTTGTGTGGCTTTTCCGGGAAATCCAGGAAGGAATTCCGGGAATTTTTTTAGCCCACAATCATCCTCGGAACTTGCTTAACATATTTGCTTTTGGAACTAGTCCTCGATATTGCTTCGTTGAGGAGGAGATACGACTTAAAGCTGTGGACACACATCCATTCATCCTTGACGAGTTAATAATCGCAATTGTCCAGTATGGAAATTGCGCTAAAAAATTGCAGTATTAGGACTAGTTATGAAAACAAATAATTACGAAGCAAGCAATTTTTAAAAATCTGTTCGGTACAATTTACTTCCTATTGATAACTGTAACCCACCTTCAAAAGAAGAGATACAGACAGCACTGACAGCAGATATAGAAACTTGCAAGTGGTATAACTGGTTCATTCGTGAATTCCGTTTCACAAAAGCACTGAGACGTAAAAATCACCAAGGTAGAATGTCATGTCATACGACAACCGTTGGACGCAATTAGTTTTCCTTAAAGTGTCCCGAAATAATTGAATGGTCTCATCCATCCACATTACAATGGTTAGATCAGGGTGGGACATGATGTGACGAACAAAGTTTGTGTCAAGGGCAATTTCATGCATATTGTACATGGCATTCCTGATGTAGAACTTGATGGGTTTCCTTCCTCTACTAGCGTTTGGTAGACCTTACGAGCTGTTCGATTACCCAAGCAATCTTTTTTTCAGAACGCCACTGACAACAGATATAGAAACTGACACCACAGTACTACACACACTCTTCAAGAAAATCTGGGAAGATGAACAAATACCAGAGGAGTGGAAGGAGGGACTACTCATAAAACTTCCAAAGAAAGGCTTTCTTAGTGCATGCACTAACTATAGAGGGATAACACTTTTGCCCATCCCAGGCAAAGTCTTAAACAGAATATTATTAAATAGAATGAAGGAAGCGATAGACCCCCAGCTTCGATTTCAACGGGCGAGCTTTAGGAAGGAAAGGTCATGCGTAGAACAAATTGCTATCCTGCGCATCATCATTGAACAGACCCAAGAGTGGAACTCATCTCTCTATATTAATTTTATATATTACGAGAAGGCCTTTGATAGCCTGGATAGACAGTCAATGTGGAAATTGTTAAGACACTACGGGGTGCCACAGAAAATAGTCAACGCTATGTATTCATATTAAGGTCTGAAATGTAGAGTAGTGCATGGCCAACAGACTTCGGAGGCCTTCCCAGTACGGACCGGAGTAAGGCAGGGTTGCCTACTTTCACCATTCCTGTTCCTGCTGGCCATATACTTAATTATGAAGCTGTCAACAGAGAAAAAGCGAAACGGTATACAGTGGCCACTGCGGAGCAAGCTGGATGACCTAGACTTTCCTGACGACGTGGCCCTTCTTTCTCACACACAACAGCAAATGCAGGATAAAACCAACAGGGTTGCTAATTTATCTACATGCCTGGGCCTGAACATCCACAGAGGGTAAAGTTCTCAAAGTCAATGCATCAAACAGCATCCCTATAACATTGGCAGAAAAAGCCCTACAAGAAGTGGATAGATTCACCTACCTTGGAAGTATTGTTGATAAGCTGGGTGGGACAGAAACAGACAGAACAATAAGGACGGACAAGGCAAGAGCAGTCTTCAACTAACTAAAAAATGTTTGGGGTTCTGGAGATTTAACCCTTGGAATAAAAAATCCGGATCTTTATTTATTCATTTATTTATTCAAATGCGGTAACAATAGTAGGCACGAAGGCCTTTTTTCAGAGGCGTATCTAGGTTTTCGTTGTAGGGGGAGCGAAATGAGCAAAAAAAGGCGCCGAATTTTTAACACGTTCTATATGCGTATATTATATATATATTATATATATATTATATATATATATATATATATATATATATATATATATATATATATATATATATATATATATATATAGTAAAATATCTAATTCTCTACCTTCTGTTAAATTTTGAGTAATTTCCGTTGACCGGAAGTAATAATTTACGCTACTTCCGATTTCTCAAAAAACTAATGTAAATTTTAAAAGTACTAATAATATTGCGCACTATTATGCGCTTTTTTATTTGGCGTTCACTTGGTGTGCAATTAATTTGTCTAAGAGATTTTATTCTATTTTTAAAACTTTAAGTATTTAAAATGGATAAAAAATCATGTCTATAGCCCGAGTTCCCATCCCATTCCCTGTTATTTTATATAAGAATATTCGAGAAAGTTTAGGGGAGATCACTCCCGGTTTATTTAACATAGTGATCAGGTATGGGTTAGATCACTGTATTGATCACACACCTTTTTACTGGTAATTGCAAAATCCATATTTACAGAGTTTTACCTGATTCAAAAGCTATGATTCTGGCGGCATGGTACTTTGGTACATCGTTACGCGTTTTCACAAATGTACCTAACAGATCAGTTCGGGGTGGGTTGGAGGGGGGGGGGAATATTCAACTTCATTCACCACTGTCCGGTCACTTTAGGTCAATTATTCAACCCAGTGTATACCTAGGTGTGACATTAATGTCGCTCTACACAATTGAGGTGGTGAGGTGTGTGTGTGTGTGGTGAACAGAGTGAACATAGCGTCAGTTTTTAGATGAATTGTTCTAAACATA